ATACCAGGCTGCTGGGCAGGACAGGTTTAAAAAAAAAAAAAAAAAAAGAGAATGGTCGTGTACCGGTGGCTTACCTCCGTCCAGGATTACCCATGAGACTCAGCATGACTGATCTTTCTTGACCACGCCCAAGCCAGTGCCTTACAGCCAGTCGACACACACACCCTGTTCCCCTCTGAAAATGAATGGAAATGCTTGTCATCTCCTTCGGTGACCACTTACCACTCACCATGGTGATCTGCCCCAGTTTTCAATCTGAAGCCAAACAAATCTTTCTGAGGACTCCTGATCTAGCTCTTTAACAATCTAGACTAGAAAGACTGGAACATGGCTGTCAGGCTTCAGCTCAGACCTGCCCACCTATGAAGTGAATCGCTTGACCATCAGCAAGAAAGATGGCTGGTCATTCATGAAGAACAATCAAGCACAGTGGACAGTTTTCTAAACAAACACATCATGGTTTCATAGATTTTTGTCATGGAGGCTCCTCTTGTATAGAAAATAAGGAAAGTAGTGATGCTGACTTAATGCAATAACAATATTAATCAGGGATGTGATCAGGAATTGTGGGTATAAAATCCAAATCTTGTTAAAAATTAGTGCAAGTGCTATGGACAAAACAGACGTCCTGAGAAATCACATCCATGAAAAAGTAGTAATCGTGATAACTGATAATGATAATGATATTATTGTTCCTAATTGTTTTTGCTTTTTTCTGCCTGAAAATTTCTAATTAGTAGAGACTTTTACCAGACCCAAGAGATGCATGGACTGGTACACACACACACACACACACATACACACACACACACACACACCAGTAGAAGAACACATGTGCTATACACAGGGAGTCCAAATATATGCTGATACAAAAAAAATCACAATTTATTCCAAAGCCCCCTTTGTGTAGGAAAAAGGAAGAAAAGTTCGAGGCACTCTTCTGACAAACAGTAAAAAGTCTTTATTCAGATGGCTATTTCATAGCGGTGAAATTCTAAAAACACAGACAATGCTGGTGCATGTTAAATAGAACTAACAACCCATCATTCTGCTACAATACTGTGTGTCTTTTTAACACTAGTGCAGCCAAATGCCCAGTGTTACTGTAGTGGGGCGCAAGTTAAAAGAAAGACTTGAAGCGTCAAAATATAGTATGCTCCAAAAACACACAATCCTACAGTTCCCATAATGCAACTCAGCAGTGTTACTTCATATGACTCTTTCTGACTGGTAAATGCGTACATTAAACTCTGTCTATGCCCTCAGTTTGTTGCTAAGGCTTTTTGTTATAGATTTATACATGTCTCATCAAAAAACAGCATGCAAGACATTGCAACAGTGGCCTGAGACCTGGGGAGATGTTTGGAGGTCAAAGAACCCAGCCTCATTCACAAATATATAACATAACACATATGTTTAGACTCTGCGATGAACTGGTGACCTGTCCAGGGTGTACCCTGCCTTTCACCCAATGTCAGCTGGGATTGGCTCCAGCTCCCCCGCGACCCTGTACACAGGATAAGCGGTTGACGATGGATGGATGCATGGATGGACATGGCCTATGCAACTGTATTTGAGGGCCTATTCGACCATTACATGCCTTTGGCACTGTCTGGTTATGATGCTGTCTTTTGCACCCAGGAATCTTTAACAATATGAAAATTTGAGAATTAGCTGACTCTATTCAAACCACTAACATATTTACTCTCCACTTTCTCTGGGATGCGGTTAAAGGATGTAGATTGAACAAATCTGTCATTTTCATCACATACAATAAAACACAGTCTCTAACAACAGTATAAGATAACGTGACATCACTATAAACATAGTACTCCAAATACATCTGAGAAAAAGTGTCCATCCCTGTCTATTATCAGCACACAAATATAGGAACATAGACACAAAAACACAACCCAAATGTCCTATACAGTACATCAGTACACACTGACATAAATTGTCACCTGTGAAACACAATACCCTAACATTTGCACGTGCACATGCACATAGTATTGTTATACGAGTTCTGAAGCCAACTGGACGATGTGCCAAACAGACTGAGAACCAATCAGAGCTCTCCGTGCTCAGCCAATGACAGCTGCTGCTGAGCCAGCATGAGCTCTCACTACTGTGAGGTGGACAAAAAAACTGTGAACAAAAACCTTCCTTTTAAGAAATATACTTACTTACTTAACATACTACAACACTGTTGATGGCAGACAATAAGAAGGATGAAGTCAAGGAGGAAAAAGAGGAATGACGAGAACGTTTGCATGTCACTTTAACCTGCATATAGATAATATCGCATGTAACACAGCTGCGGATCTCCTATCTCTCACAGACTCTATTAATTTTACTCAGCATGTTACTGGACCCACACACATTAAGGGCCACACCCTGGACCTCGTCTTCTCACTTGGTCTTGATATAGTAAATGCTCGTGTAGAAGATGTCCATGTGAGTGATCATAGCTGTGTGTTCTTTGACATTAACTTTCCTCTGGATCTTCCGCCCCTGGGAATTAGGGCCCAAAGGCAGATTATTAATCATGATGCTGCGGAGAGGTTCTCTGCCTTGTTTGACCGATGTTCACTGATGGGATGCAGTAATGCAGATGTTTTTATTTATTATCAGTGCTTAGCACTTTTAGATAAAGTGGCATCAGTTAAAACAAACATTGTCTCCCATAAAAACCTTGTCCTTGGGTTGATGAAACTATCCAGAGTTTTAGGAGAAATTGTAGAAAAGGTGAACGTCTATGGAAATCTTCTAAACTCAAAGTTCATAGGCTTCATCTGAGAGAACTAACGGGTACCTTAAACGAGATGCTGAGAAACGCGAGAGCTTCTTTTCTCAGCTTATATCCTTGAATAAGCAAAATCCTAAAATCTTGTTTGACAAACATCTCACCATCGCTTACTCAGAACTCTGCATGTGACCTGTCTTCTGCTCATTCTTGGTCATATTTTAAACCTGTGACATTACAGGACGTCACCCCTCTACTACCCTCATCTTGTCCTATGGATGTTCTCCCTACTGTGCTATTTGTACAAGCGTTTGATTCTATTGGCCCCTGTATTGTGGAGATGATTAATACTTCACTTTTAACTGGTGTCGTTCCTTGTTTTTTAAACATGCTGTTGTTAACCCTGTACTTAAAAAGCCCAGCTTGGATCCATTACAACTTAAGAGCTACAGGCCGATATCCCAACTTCCATTCATGTCAAAAATTCTAGAAAAAGTTACCCTTTTCTTAGAGAATCACAAGCTTTTGACAAATTCCAGTCTGGTTTCCGTAAAATGCATTCCACAGAAACTTTATTACTGAAAGTTTCTAGTGACATTCTGATGTCAGCTGAGGAATACACAGTTTTGGTTCTCTTGGACCTTTCATCTGCTTTCGATACTGTTGATCATAATATTATGATAAACCAACTCCATGATCTGGTTGTGATGTCTGGATCGGTTTTAAAATGGTTTTCATCATACCTTTCTGGTAGAAGTTTTTGTGTTTATGTAAATCAGATCATGTCTGAAGCTGCAGGACTGTCGTGTGGGGTACCTCAGGGTTCTGTCTTGGGACCCATCCTGTTCCTTTTGTATATATATCCTCTCGGACAGATAATTAGTCAATTCAGTGACATATCTTACCATCTGTATGCGGATGATATTCAACTGTATTGCTCAATCAAGGAAACTGAGTTCCATAAATTGTCGTCTTTAACTAACTGCTTGACCCGTATTAAACAGTGGTTATGTGACAACTTCCTGCTTCTGAACTCAGAGAAAACAGAAACACTGATTATCGCCCCTGAAAGTAGAATCCCTCAGATTAAACAGCATATTGGTGACTTAGGCTCGTCCGTCCAGCTGAGCCTCAGGAGCTTAGGTGCTGTTTTGATTCAGTGATGTCCTTAGAGTACCACTCCAAACAACTAGTCAGAAACTGTTTCTTCCATCTAAGGATATTACCTAATTAAAAACACTGGTGTCAAAGGGTGAGTTGGAGATGATCATTCATGCTTTTATTTCCTCTCGTTTAGATTACTGTAACAGTCTTTTTACTTGTTTGAGCAAGAAGGAGCTTTACCGTCTCCAGGCTATTACATTTTACTGTGAAGCACTTTGTGATTTTTATATGTGAAAGGTGCTATACAAATACTATATATACTTTACTTACTTACTTAGAGTTTTTTTTTCTCAGGTGAATTTCAGTCTGAAGATTTGTGCCTGGCTGCATTTTAGTATTTAATAATGATGATATTTATGATAAAAATAATAGCTGAAAAGCCTCTCCCAGAACATGATAAATGTCCAAGATGTGATATACTGTATGCCAGGTAAAGTGAAGTTGAAAATGTCAAGGTCATATCATATCATATCACTTTTGCAAGGACCACATGTGGCAATTATCTCGAGATTTTCATGGCGTTATAATCAAGTGATGATTCACCATAAAATGGCTCCCAAAAATGTGAAAATTATTACTCTTCACTTCTGACTATTAAACTCATTAATTTTGTCCAAAATCTTGTATTTATAACATTACCATATATTAACATATTAAGACATTATTGTTATGTTGATATATGATTAAGTATTCTATCTGCGCTAACCTGAATTCAGGTGTGACATGTCAATATTTTTTCAAAACAGAAAATACTTCAAGAGTTTGTTTGAAGGTTTATTTTAAGATCATCACACACACACTGACTCGACACATGTTTAAGTGTTTAAAGAATTGTTTGTCGACAACATTTTCTCATTTACAAAATTAAACATACATTAACAGTCACTATTAAATGTTTGACATATTGTTCAAAGACATGAAGAAGATCACAAAGATGCACAGAATAACCTTCAATGAACCATACATTTATCACACATTTGATCACGTTCCTTCTCCTTCTAAATCTGATCCCTGATCAACGATTTCACTCACTTACAATCTGGCATCCTTTCAATGATGCTTCACTACAGGACAGTGACATCACATAAATCACCTTTTTTGACATCCTCCTTCAGAGAGCCAACTAATGCCATCTCTTCTGAGCTTCCTTTTTTATCTCCATTGCTCTCTCCTACCACAGCATTTTGACCTCCCTCACTTGCACTACTCGTTTCCTCCCCTTCCTCGTTCGCATTCTGCTGCCTCTCCTCTTCCTCTTTTCTGCTGAGCGCCCTCTCTCTCAGGTTGTCCCCCTCCATACTGGAGTAGTCGTCTGAAGAATCACTGTCTTCCTCACTGTCTTCGTCACTGTATTCCCCCTTTTCCTTGGAAATGGGATAAGACCTTACAGTCAGGCGAGGAACTGCCATATGACTACCTCCTTCTCCCCGTTGTCTCTCCTCTGTGCTCCTTCTCCCTGTATTCCTTCTATCTCTTCATCCTCCTCCTCTCCTCTCTTCCATCCTGGCCAGAGGCGAAGTCCTATTCGGTCCTCCAGGTTACCGATTCCTGCCCTCAGTCTCTCCCTCACACTCAGTAGGAGCCTGGGGACAGACCTGTCCTGTCCTGAATGCTGGTCCTTCATGTTATAGAGGCATCCCATGAAGAGCACCAATACCAAGATGGCCAACAAAATGACAAAAATCAATAACTTGTTGCTGTTGCTGGACTTAGAGGCAAGGTTTGCGATTGTGGTGGAAAGTTGGTTAGTTGTTGTGATGGCACTGTGTGATGGCACTTTAGATGATGACGGTGGTGATGCTGATGTCATAGTAGTCCTGTCAGATGTAGAATGTTTATTATCTTGAGCTTCAGCAGATGCTGTCATGTTGTTTGGGAGAGAAGTGGTGAGGCTGTTCTGTGTTTGATTAACACCAGAAGATGCAGGAATCAGGAGAATGAACATGAATAAAGTCAGAACTAGGATGGCCCTCATGGTGACTATATGGGTCAATAAAAAGACAAAAAAGAAATAGAAAATACCAGTAAGTATAATGGCAGCATGCTATAATAACACATTATCATTATTATTTAGAAAACAATATTCTAAATTTAATTTGCTATATATATATATATTGCCTGTACCACTAACACCATTACTACTGAATATGTGGATATTGTGTCAGGCTTTAAATGAGTCACTCACTCTGGCTGACAGTGATGCCTCAGACAGATGTGGAACAATATACTAATATTGCTAGTGGATACCAAAAGTAATGTCAGAAACTCCAGTTAGAGCTCAGTGTCATCTTCAGGACAGAGTTTGAAACATTTTCATTTGAAGATCATAGTACCATTTATGGTAGAATACAATAAATTGAAAAAAACGTTTTCAAGCATTTGGTGCATGCATATATGCAGCCCATTTTCATCTCAATGAAAAAAAACACAAACGCAAAAGGGTCACAGAAAGAAGGTATACAGGAAGACACACACCAAGTGGGTCAGGATGTGGTTGTTTCTGTGTGCCTCATACTTCTGTGTCACACAAGAAATAACAGGAAATCAGTTACCTGCAACGTTTACAAGCAATTGCTTGGTTCTCTGTTTGGTATCAAAATATATTTTTTGCTTATTCATTAAACTACTATTCATCCGAGTTCACTCATTACACTGTCCTTAACCACTATGTTAAGGACCCTCTCTCTTTCTCTCTGTTCCTCTCCTGTCCTCTTTCTCTCTGTTCCTCTCTCGCCCTCTCTCTCTCGCCCTCTCTCTCTCTCTCTCTCTCTCTCTCCTTCACCCCCAACCAGTCAAGGCAGATGGCCGCCCACCCTGAGCCATGGTTCTGCTCAAGGTTTCTGCCTCTACATAAATAAAATTGAATTGAATTGAATATGTTTTAATGTGAGTCTAAACCAAATCAAAGATACTGTAGATAATTTAACCATTTTAACCCCCCTGAGTCATTGCGAAACCCTTTGTTAAAATGTGTACATGATTCAATGTAATATTTTTATTTGGTAGGCTATGGCAGATGTTTTGTTGAAAGCAGTCTTCCAGTAAAATCAGTCACACAAACACGCCACACAGATTGGAAACAATAGTGTATATATGAAATGCTTTTTCTGTCAAATAACATAAAAAATAGTTCATCAAAAAACATATCCAACACAGAACACACAAACCTGATTATTACAGTCACGTGGTGTTCATTGGAGGTCATGCGTAATCTCTGTACACTTTGTACTGAATGTGATTTGTGACATTTTATAATCCTGTAAAATATAATCAAGCTAATTTTTAACCTTGTTCCATACAAATCTCTTATTATATTTTTAATTTGTTATCTTGTTGTAATTTGTTTATGGTACGGTTGGTTCAGTCAATTAAATACTGTATGAGTAAGTAAATAAAAATAGAGATAGTATAAAGGTTTTATGAGTGAGGAGAGGCCTGAGAGTGAGAGGAGCGTCAAAGGTTGACCAGACAGGATGTTTAATAAAGATGGAAAGCAAACACAAAACAGTGGACTGATACTTGTTTCAAGAAACATGAAAGGCAGATGAAGAAATAAGATGAGCAGAAAACAGCAACATCATCAAGAAAGAACCTAACAGACGTATTTCACTTTGTGTACACTTGTGTGAATAAACAAATATAAATGAAAGTAAAAGTTATTGACTTACACACTGAGCTGATCATCTGGTCAAGTGATGGGATGAAGTGAATGAAGAAACATAAAATAAAGAGGTGAAGCTGTGGATGAGGATGTGAAGACCAGTGCTAGAAGGGAGAAATTTAGCATGTGACAGATAAGGGCGGGAAGATGAGAAAGAGTGAGACGAGTGGGAAGGTTTCAGTGTCTTCACTTATTCAGAAAACTAGGTCAGTACAAGGGCCTAGTTGTAATTTAATTTAAACTCACATCCCTTTATATTTTATTCTAAAACGTATTACTTAAAAAAACATTCTGTCTTACAAACATGATATATATGTTAAAAATTTTATTGGGTCAAACTGTCAAAATGTTAAAAAATGGTAACTACCACATATATACATACAGTATATACTATATATATATAACATATACACATATATATATATATATATATACACACACACACACACACGCATGGGTGTGTTCATTGCACCTTAAAATGCAGTGGGTGTTATGAGTTGTATTTTTTTCCCCTGTGGGTTTCTGGGTTTTGCCATTGTTTCATGTGTCCTTCTGTTTGCCTCTGCTTCTCTCATTTAGTTCATGTTTAGTGTCATTCCTGGTCTGTGCACTTCTGTATCATTTTGTCCATGTTTGTGTTGTGCTCTGTTTAATCTTAGTTCAGTCTGTTTTCCCAGTTAGTTTTAGTTTATTGGTATATTTGTGATGTGTCTGCTTGTGTTCTAGATCAGTTATTTATATTCTGTTTCTTCCTGGTTATTAGTTTCCCTATGGCTTTATTGGTGTCTCTCTGTTTTCCCTGCTGTCTCTCTGTGTCTCGTTAGCCTCATGTCTTTCACCTGTGTTGCTCCCGCCCTAGTCATTATCCCTGGTATATATGTGTGGTCTGTCTGTTCAGCCCTTGTCTGGTCATTGTAGCATGTACAGGTGCTGGTCATATAATTAGAAAATAATCAAAAAGTTGATTTATTTCAGTAATTCCATTCAAAAAGTGAAACTTGGATATTATATTCATTCATTACACACAGACTGATATATTTCAATTGTTTATTTCATTTAATTGTGATGATTAAAACTGACAACTAATGAAAATCCCAAATTCAGTATCTCCGAAAATTAGAATATTACTTAAGACCAATACAAAAAAAGGATTTTTAGAAATGTTGGCCAACTGAAAAGTATGAACATGAAAAGTATGAGCGTGTACAGCACTCAATACTTAGTTGGGGCTCCTTTTGCCTGAATTACTGCAGCAATGGCATGGAGTCAATCAATCTGTGGCACTGCTCAGGTGTTATGAGAGCCCAGGTTGCTCTGATAGTGGCCTTCAGCTCTTCTGCATTGTTGGGTCTGGCGTATCGCATCTTCCTCTTCACAATATCCCATAGATTTTCTATAGGGTTAAGGTCAGGCGAGTATGCTGGCCAATTAAGAACAGGGATACCATGGTCCTTAAACCAGGTACTGGTAGCTTTGGCACTGTGTGCAGGTGCCAAGTCCTGTTGGAAAATGAAATCTGCATCTCCATAAAGTTGGTCAGCAGCAGGAAGCATGAAGTGCTCTAAAACTTCCTGGTAGACGGCTGCGTTGACCTTGGACCTCAGAAAACACAGTGGACCAACACCAGCAGATGACATGGCACCCCAAACCATCACTGACTGTAGAAAATTTACACTGGACTTCAAGCAACGTGGATTGTGTGCCTCTCCTCTCTTCCTCCAGACTCTGGGACCTTGATTTCCAAAGGAAACGCAAAATTTCCTTTCATCAGAGAACATAACTTTGGACCACTCAGCAGCAGTCCAGTCCTTTTTGTCTTTAGCCCAGGCGAGACGCTTCTGACACTGTGTCTTGTTCAAGAGTGGCTTGACACAAGGAATGCTACAGCTGAAACCCATGTCTTGCATACGTCTGTGCGTGGTGGTTCTTGAAGCACTGACTCCAGCTGCAGTCCACTCTTTGTGAATCTCCCCCACATTTTTTAATGGGTTTTGTTTCACAATCCTCTCCAGGGTGCGGTTATCCCTATAGCTTGTACATTTTTTTCTACCACATCTTTTCCTTCCCTTCACCTCTCTATTAATGTGCTTGGACACAGAGCTCTGTGAACAGCCAGCCTCTTTAGCAATGACCTTTTGTGTCTTGCCCTCCTTGTGCAAGGTGTCAATGGTCGTCTTTTGGACAGCTGTCAAGTCAGCAGTCTTCCCCATGATTGTGAAGCCTACAGAACTAGACTGAGAGACCATTTAAAGGCCTTTGCAGGTGTTTTGAGTTAATTAGCTGATTAGAGTGTGGCACCAGGTGTCTTCAATATTGAACCTTTTCACAATATTCAAATTTTCTGAGATACTGAATTTGGGATTTTCATTAGTTGTCAGTTTTAATCATCACAATTAAATGAAATAAACATTTGAAATATATCAGTCTGTGTGTAATGAATGTATACATTATACAAGTTTCACTTTTTGAATGGACTTTCTAAAATAAATCAACTTTTTCATGATATTCTAATTATATGACCAGCACCTGTATACTGAGTTGCGGCCCGGTTTTAATGTAGATGGAGATCAACTGTAAAACGCTGGTGTAGACAGAGATCATATTCATTTTAATTCTCCGTTTTTAAAACTAAAATGGGCATGGGCATGGGGCCTAAAACATAATGCACAGAAGTTTGCACATCTAAGTACAAATGAAGCGCATTGACGGCCAGTAACATAATTCAATTCAATTTTATTTATATAGCGCCAAATCACAACAACATTTATCTCACAGAACTTTTCAGAAAAGAGCAGGTGTAGACCATACTCTGTGATGTTATTTACAGAAGCCCAACAATTCCCACCAAGAGCAAGCACTAGGCGACAGAGGCAAGGAAAAACTTCCTTTTAAGAGGCAGAAACCTCGAGCAGAACCATGGCTCAGGGTGGGCGGCCATCTGCCTCCACCGGTTGGGGGTGAGAGAGAGAGAGAGAGAGAGGGCGAGAGAGGAACAGAGAGAAAGAGAGAGGGATGGAAGGAGAGAGAGGGGAGGGAGGCAGCCTACACAATATACACACAGAGGTAGAGACACACTGAGTTGCTATAGACTAAATGAAAAATGATACAGATATTTATAGTAGTGTTAATGATAATAATTGTAATGTTAATGATTATAATAACAATAATAATAATAGGACTAGTAACAATAGTTGTTGTAGCAGAAGGTGTCGAGCAGGAACACGGGGGCAGCAGGTGACTCGCAACCACAGATCCAGACTCCACAGCTCCAGAGCCAGAAACACCTGCAGGAACTGATAGGAGGAGAGAGGAGAGGGACGAGAAAGCACAAGACTACCGGAAAGGGGAGAAGTTGAGTTAGTAACATCCAATAATGGGATGAGGTTGCATACAGAGGGAGAGAAAGAAGAGGAGAGAGGAGCTCAGTGCATCATGGGAAATCCCCCGGCAGTCTAGGCCTATAGCAGCATAACTAAGAGATGGTTCAGGACTCACCTGAGCCAGCCCTAACTATAAGCTTTATCAAAGAGGAAAGTCTTAAGCCTACTCTTAAATGTGGAGATGGTGTCTGCCTCCTGAACCCAAACTGGAACCTGGTTCCACAGGAGAGGAGCTTGATAGCTGAACGCTCTGGCTCCTAGTCTACATCTGGAGACTCTAGGAACCACAAGTAACCCTGCATTCTGGGAGTGCAGTGCTCTGGTGGAATAGTAAGGTACTATGAGCTCTTTAAGATAAGATGGTGCCTGACCATTAAGAGCTTTGTAGGTGAGAAGAATGATTTTAAATTATATTCTGGATTTTACTGGAGGCCAATGCAGAGAAGCTAAGACAGGAGAAATATGATCTCTTTTCCTGGTTCAGAGCACATGCTGCAGCATTCTGGATCAGCTGAAGAGTCTTAATGGACTTTTTCGAGCAGCCTGATAATAAGGAATTGCAGTAATCCAGCCTAGAAGTAACAAATGCATGGACTAGTTTTTCTGCATCATTTTTAGACAGGATGTTCCTGATTTTCGCAATATTACGTAGGTGAATTAAGGCAGTCCTTGAAATTTGCTTAATGTGAGACTTAAACGACATGTCCTGATCAAAGATAACTCCAAGATTCCTCACGGTGGTGCTGGAGGCCAGGGCGATGCCATCAAGGGAAACTATATCTTTAGATAATGCGTCACGGAGGTGCCTGGGCCCCAGAACAGTAACTTCAGTTTTATCTGAGTTTAACATTAGAAAATTACAGGTCATCCAGGTTTTAACATCCTGAAGGCACATTTGAAGTTTAGCTAACTGATGAGTTTCATCTGGCTTGATCGATAGATATAACTATCATCTGCGTAACAATGAAAGTTTATGGAATATTTCCTGATAATATTGCCTAAAGGAAGCGTATATAAAGTTAAGAGGATTGGTCCGAGGACAGATCCTTGACATAACAGCACTCCCTCTATTTCTGAGTACTGAATATAATTAAAACAGACAAACTATAAACGTTGCAACACTAAGGAGCCTGATAAGAAACGTTCTTTTACATGTCTGCAGATAGGCAAACACATCAATCCGTTTCAACAGTCTGAACCAGCAGCACATGAATACCAGCGGCAATACATTTACATTTACATTTACTCATTTGGCAGACAAGCATCAACAGAGCATCAAACGAGCAACGTAACTTTGTATTATGGAGTTTAGGTAGATGGGTGCAGACCCAGTAGTCACTCTGTATGCAAACATTAGTGACTTGAATTTGATTCTGGAGGCCACGGGGAGCCAGTGGAGGTCACTGAGTAATGGAGTGACAATAAAGGTCTATAAATAAGAAGGGAACCAGCACTTAATAAAGAGAAATAAATAAAGGAACTTATTTATATGGTGCCATCTGCTGATCTGGATTATTTCTGAGAAAGAGAAAAAAGGAGTGATAGGAAATTTCAGTAGTAGGCGAGCAGGATAGACCAGAATCCACTTTCTTGCAGGATCTTTTTGTGTCATCAAACATCCGATTTTCCATGTCATCCACCTTTGCTTTGAGATTGTTTACTGTCTTCTCGTCATTCATCCATATCATTATTGATTCTATTCAGGTCGTCCTTCAAAGACCGCGTCTTCTTATTTGGTTGTCTCTTCTTCAGTGTCGAGTT